GTTCTGAACGATAGAATGGGGAGGGAAGAAGAAAGGTGGAAATCTAATGTTTAATTGGGGAGGGCATTTTTGTCATTTCCTCTTTAATATTATTTTTCATTAACTTTTATTGTCATTTTTGAGTCAAAGGTCATTTGGCCAATTTTTTGTATTCAGAGGGCTATTTCAACTAAAATCCACCATTAATTTCTTGGCTAATAACAGACTTCTCGCTCTCTTATCACTTCTCTGTCTCAGCTAAACCCTAACTATGGATCTCCTTCAATCCTACAAAGACACCGACATGGATGACGACGTCGCTTCGCCTCATCCACCCACTACGTCCGACCCTTCGCCTGATTCCTCCCCAATCCGGATCTCCCTCCCCGCCAAATCCGCTGCTCCGGCAGTCGACGATACTATGCTATCCCTCACCGCCGCCGGCAAGGCCCAGTCGGAGGCCCAAAAGCCAATTGACCCGACCCAGCGCCTCGTTTCATTCAATCCGACCTACGACCAGCTGTGGACACCCATCGTGGGCCCCTCTCATCCCTACTCCAAGGACGGCCTCGCCCAAGGCCTCCGCAACCACAAGCTAGGGTTCGTAGAGAATGCCAACATAGGGTCCTTCGTGTTCGACGAGCAGTACAATACGTTTTACAAATTCGGGTACGCAGCTGATCCGTCCGAGAATAACTATGTCGGTGATGTTAAAGGGTTTGAGAAAAACGATGGGCTTTCCGTGTACAACATTCCGCGGCACGAGCAGAAGAAAAGGAAAATGGAGAAAAAGAAGGAGATGCTGGAGGAGAACGAGGGAGATGGTCAGGTGGATACAGTCGAGTTGGAGAATCCTTCAACCGACACTTGGCTGATGAAGAACAGGAAGAGCCCCTGGGCCGGGAAGAAGGAATGGGTGCAAGGTGAGTTGACTGAGGAGCAAAAGAAGTATGCGGAGGAGCATGCCAAGAAGAAGGGTGAGAAGGAAGAAGGCGAGCGAGGGAAAGGGGAAGCTCATGTCGACAAGACCACATTTCACGGGAAAGAGGAGAAGGATTATCAAGGGAGGTCGTGGATCGCCCCGCCTAAGGATGCTAAGGCAAGTAATGATCATTGTTACATACCCAAGAGATTGGTGCACACGTGGAGTGGGCACACGAAAGGGGTTTCGGCTATTAGGTTCTTTCCCAAGCACGGCCATTTGATACTGTCTGCTGGGATGGATACGAAGGTGAAGATCTGGGACGTGTACAATTCTGGAAAGTGTATGAGAACTTACATGGGGCACGCGAAGGCTGTGCGTGATATATGGTTTAGTAATGATGGGACAAAATTTTTGAGTGCTGGATATGATAAGAATATTAAGTATTGGGATACGGAGACGGGGCAAGTGATATCAACTTTCTCGACCGGAAAGATTCCTTATGTAGTGAGACTTAATCCGGATGAGGATAAACAGAATGTCCTGCTAGCGGGAATGAGTGATAAGAAGATTGTGCAGTGGGATATAAACACAGGGCAGATTGTGCAGGAGTATGATCAGCATTTAGGGGCGGTTAATACAATTACTTTTGTGGATAACAACAGGAGGTTTGTTACATCAAGTGATGATAAGTCACTGCGGGTGTGGGAGTTTGGGATTCCGGTGGTCATAAAGTATATTAGTGAACCCCACATGCATTCGATGCCTGCAATCTCTTTGCACCCAAATTCGAATTGGCTAGCTTGTCAGAGTTTGGATAACCAGATACTTATTTACAGTACTAGAGAGAGATTCCAACTTAACAAGAAGAAAAGGTTTGCTGGCCATATTGTAGCTGGCTATGCTTGCCAGGTTAACTTTTCCCCCGATGGACGGTTTGTAATGTCAGGGGATGGTGAGGGAAGGTGTTGGTTTTGGGATTGGAAGAGTTGCAAAGTCTTTAGGACTCTCAAGTGTCATGATGGAGTTTGTATTGGTTGTGAATGGCATCCATTGGAACAGAGTAAAGTCGCCACTTGTGGCTGGGATGGCTTGATCAAGTATTGGTAAGGATTCTAATCTGTGGTTTAAGCAATTCCTTATATTTTCTGTATATTTCTTTAAGAATTACGTGTTTCTTGATGTTTATTTTAGGGTTTCAATTGCTACGACTACTCCCTTTTTTACTTGGATAACTCGAGCAAGTTTAAATTTCTCATGGGCTAAACAGTGTGACTTATAGTTGATAACATGCAAAATATTATTGTTCAGACTTTATTATTGTAGTTATATAGCCTTTGTGCGTTATGGAGTGTTATCCAATACCCGATTGTGCGGTTGTCAGCTGTCACCTTGTTACAGTGCAATACATATGCCTGACTTCGAGGATTTTTTCTCTCCCTCTCTCCGTCTCTCTTGGAAAATAGATTCGTTCTAATCTGTGAAATATACTGAGGGCTACCATCTAGTTGCTTTTCAATTGAAGTCGCAAGACTGTCAATATTCTTTTTGGTTAATGTAGGGATTATTCATTTATTTGAAAAGAAGAACACTTCTTTTAAATTGTGAAAACAACACTAGAATCTAATAGTATTAGCCTGTGATTCTTTTGCATTGATCCCCTTCCAATAGTCTTATAACTCTGGCTCAGCATTGTGCATTTCAAAGCTGTACTTAGGTTTATTCCATATCCGAGTCTTAGCAATAGAATTTCTTAGACAACTTACTCAAACCGTTGAGAATAATTGACCATGTTGTATTATTGGTATTCATTTTGACTGTGATGTGATGGTAGTTCTTCACTCAGAAGCATAATACTCCGATTCCTGAAGGCAAAGTAGTGGTGGTGTATTACTTTCTATTGTGTATACAGCTGTCAATCGGTATTGTTGGAACCTCACGGTCAGACCACAAGCTCCTAGGTTATGGTTTTACCGTGTCGTCATCTTTTGTGAAATGTTCTCTTTTGTCCCACTAGGGGAAGTTAAGGTTGTAGATATTTTTTCATATATATTGAGGCTATGTTTGGTAGACAAATAAGCTATCTTATAGCTTATTTGGTTAGCTTATAAGCTCCGTGTATTCAAATAAGCCTTGTTTGGTAGGACGAGCTTTTTTAAAAAGCTCGAGCTTATTTGATAAGCTTCTTTAGGTAGCTTTTCAAATAAGCTAGTTAAATTTTTTATTCCAGCTAGCTTATCAGCTAATTTTTACCAACACTTTTATTATATGAGCTAGCTTTTCAGCTATAAGTCATAAGCTATAAGCTATAAGCTCGAAAATTACTGATAAGCTATAAGCTAGCTTATCAGCTACAGCTAGTTTTACCAAACATAGCTGAATACTAGATGCACACTGCTCTTAGACAAAAATACAAAGGTTATAGAGTCAGTACCTTTGACTTTGGTGTGAGGACGGCTGCGGCCACAGGAGGGCTAATGGACCTGCTTTGGGGAAACTGTGAAGTGACTACAAAGTGAACATGGGTAGATGTGGGGTATTTAACACTCTTACGTCATATAGAAATACATTAATCTTGAAAAAATGCTGAAATTTTATCTGAGAGATGCTACTGTTGACGACATTTTACATTCTCCTATATTAATATGATGGCTATAGATCATTCTTTGAAAGTTTGCTTCTGAGCTTCGTTTTGTGCACATATTGGTTACTTGGTTTGTCTAATTTCATTCGAACCCTAAAGGTGTATTGCTTTCCTTTGCTTTTGAGGCATTCCTAAGTTGTTCTGAGTTTCAGTGTGACATAATGATGTGTAGCTCTAGCGGTCAGAATTGTAGTTTTGCGTATATTAGCAGTCTTTGTGATGAATAAAAGTATGAAAATGTGATGCTTTAGAGTATTTGCTCACGAGTATATACTCTCTTACTCTGAAGTTGTTCTGAGTTTCATACTATTTGCAGGGACTAAATTGCTGGGAAATATTGAACTTGGCACATCTACCCCTTGATAATCTTATCCCAAAAACAGCTAAATTTGAAGTGCTAACCTCAGATTAGAAGAAGATACCGAGCTTGTATCTCTGAGTCTGTGTGGAGTTTGACGAGAAGTTCAGGCAGAAGGTCGAATCAAATGTACTGTTTTGTAATTTGGTATTTGAACTAATATTTCGTTTTGCATCAAAAGTATAGAGGAACAGCTTTGTAACCTTTGACGTCTTGTTGTAATCTTTGAAATAGATTTATTGTTTTTATGTGGATCATCCATGCCATACTTACCATTAGTGTTGTTAAATTAAACGAGTCTGGCTCGGCTCGGTTCGAGTTCGAGGCCATAACGAGCCGAGCTCGAGCTCATTTAAAGCTCGATTGGTTAACGAGTCGAGCTTGGCTCGATAAGACTCGAAAATAGAATTTTATATTATCTTTTATAGTTTGGCTCGTTAAATCTCGAGATCGGCTCGTTAAGACTCGAGCTCGAGGCCTTAACGAGCTGAGCTCAAACTCAATTTTTGGCTTGTTTATTTAACGAGTTGAGCTCTGCTCGGCTTGTTAAGAGCTCGAGCTCAAGCGCTATATGCCCGAGCTCTGCTCGGCTCGTTTACAACCCGCTATAATCAAAATCACCATAACATTTGTAAAAATTGTAGAAATCAATCAGCAAAGTAAAAGGAAACTTCTGGCCAATTGGATTAAATTCTCATTTTTGTTCTTTTCCTACTATCCCATGGTGCATGGGGTAATTTTTTTTTTTTTTTAAAGAAAAACATTGGGTAAATTGCACCAAACCCCCCTGTAATATACTAAATCTGCGCGTTTTTCCCTCGTAATTTAGAAATTGCGTCAAACCCCCTTCTATTATATATCTGCCTGCATACTCGCCCTTTGATGTTAACACCGTTACTTTACTACTGACGGTGTTACTTTTTTCGTCAAATTTACCATTATACCCTTACTTTATCGCTGAATTTACCATTATGTCATTATACCTTTATTTTATCACTGAATTTACCATTATGTCATTACTTTATCACTGAATTTATTATTATGCCATTACTGTCAAATAATATATATATTCTAAATTATATATAAAGAAAATAATATACATATATATAACATATATTTATATAATTTATATATAACGTATTTATATAACGTGTATATTATATATATATATATATATATAATAACCGTATATATATAACGTATTTATATATAAAATATATATAACGTATATATATAAATAACGGTTTTAATATATATAATATATATTATATATAATATATTAATATATATTATATATTATTTTATATTATATAATATACTATTAATATATCATATATTAGATATTATATATTATATAATATAATATATTATATATAACGGTTATTATATAAATTATATATATAATATTATATATATATAATATTATACATATATAATATATATATATAATTAATATATAACGTATTTATATAACGTATATATTATATATATATATAATAACCGTATATATATAACGTAGTTATATATAATTTATATATAAATAACATATATATATATATAAATAACGGTTAATATATATAATATATATTATATATATAATATATTAATATATATTATATATTATTTTATATTATATAATATATATTTAATATATCATATATTATATAATATATTATATAATATAATATATATAATATTATACATATATAATATATATATATATAATGTAGATATATATAATAACATATAATATAATAATATATATAATATTATAATAATATATATTTTATAATAATCATTATAATATAATATATATTATATTATATATATTATGTATAATAATATATATATTATTATATATAACAATATATATATATATATTATAATAATATATAATATAATATATATTTTATAATAATCATTATAATATGATATATATTATATATAATATAATATATATTATAATAATATATAATAATCGTTATATATTATATAATATATATGTTATAATAATCAGGGGCGAAGCCAGCCTCAAATTTCACCGGGGTCGGCAATATTTTTTAGCGGGGTCATTAACCTAGTAAACAGTGTTTGAACAGTATTTTATACTAAAAATTTTGAAATCCATAGGGGTCAGCTGACCCCAGCCACAAGGTGTGGCTCCGCCACTGATAATAATCATTATAATATTATATATATAATATATAATATATCATATATAATAATCGTTATATTAAAGTGGGGTCCAATTAATTACATCTGGGCATATTTATAGTAGTAAAAAGAATATCTGTGGCCAAAAAATGAAGAAGGAGTCACATAGCACGCGCGTGCACTCTACTTCCGTCATCTTTGACGATTTAGGGTGTTTCGTGCATGCAAAAGTACATTACAAGTGAGTTTGACGCAATTTTTAAATTACAAGGGGATAAAGTGCAGATTTAGTATAATACGGGGGATTTGGTGCAATTTACCCGAAAAACATTATTAAGCATTTTAACCTCCTACCCGCTATTTTTGTAATTATATAATTGGCCTTGTTTGGTTTTTATGGCTTTTTGGCCAGCTTTTAGCTTTTTGAGCAATTTTAGAGGTTTGACCAAACTAAAATCGCTAAAATTTGTGTTTGGTTAGATAGCTTTTAAAGTTGACGGATTGGATGAAAAAGCTGAAACTGAAAACGCTCCCATTTGGAGCGTTTTGGAAGATCAATGGCTTTTTTTGTTGAATGGGTTCCTTAATGTAGTGAGGTAAATATTTAAAATATTTATATAAATAAAAACGATGAATGACGTGAATGAAAAGAAAAATATATATAGAAAAAAAATGAAAAGAAAAATATATAACTAAATTGTTAGTAGTTGTACAAATAATTACATGTAAAAATAAAAATATTTGATTTACTAGTTTGCCATTTTAGAAATTATGTACAATTATTTATCAATTTTCTTTCTTATTTAATAAGTACTAGAAAAATAAATTTATCCTAGATAAACAAAATATTAAATTATACTAATACATTTCTAAGTAACTATATAATACACAAACAATTAAAAATAACTTTTTACCAAACACTAATTTACAAATCGTTTACTATAATGAGCTGGTCAAAACCGCTAAGGAAATACGTTGGTCAAAACAGCTAATGCAATCCGCTAACAGCTAACAGCTAACCGTTGATTACCAAACAAGGCCACTAATAAAATTAACGACCAGTGGTTTTAGCGCAAACTTTGAAAATTAATTTACGGCATTAAAACTTTGAAAATTGCAAAAAAAAATAATTTTTGAAGCTCCTTTGGAATTTTAGAAGACACTCAATTTATATTTTTCTTTTTGTTTTCAAGAGTGAACAAGCAGAAATTGTAGAAAATGTACAGACTACAGATGAAGTTAAATGTTAAAAAGTAACACATGCGTTTGCCGGGAGTCGAACCCGGGTCTATTGCTTGGAAGGCAATTATCCTAACCGTTGGACTACAAACGCTGTTGATGACATTCATTATTGCCAGTACAACTGAACGCTGGGTGGGCCACAATCCCTTAGATCTTGCTCAACTTTCCTCTCCTTTCAGTCCCTTCCTAGTAGAGCTTTCAAATTTAAACAATTGGATAACTTAAATTGTAAATATATTTTAAAAGTCAATAGCATTTGTATATATTATAATTTTTTATATAGATAACTTAAATTAGTCATATTTTGACAATATATAATTTGACATTCATATTTTATATGTAAATTAAAGTAATTATATATATGATCTCTATCAACAAAAATTTTACTATTTATCAATTATAATTGAAAAACAATAAATTTATCTATCAAGCTTATTATATGGCATAAGTACTAAAAATATTACAATATAATATCCTCGAATCTGATCGATGAAGTGTATCAATATAAATAAAAACAATAATTTTTTTTTGTAAAAAATATTTAAAATTTTAAAATAGAAACTTGTATTTATATTTTTACACATATTAAATATAAATTTTTTATTAGCACATATTAAATATGTCAGCACAAAAAATTGAACCTAGGCAATTGCCTAGGCTCGCGTATACCTGTGTCCGCCCTTGGATTAGCATATCATCAACTTCAGATTCTCTCTTCTACTTTTTCGTTTTTCTTTGTATTTTTCCAATTTTGATGTGTTCTTTAAAATATATGTTATTTCTCAAAAATATGTTCAAAACATTTTAAATTATATATACAGTTTTTTTTCTAAAAAAAAAACACTTATACTAACTAATAATACATTGGAGTCTTTTAAATTATCTATACTATTTGTTGTCTTTAAAAAAAAAAAAACTATAGTTTGGCATAAAGTCAAAATCATTTTAAATACTAAGACAAAATTTAAACTTTAAATAATAGCTCTATTACTAACTATTAGTACATTGGAGTTGCCATTTCAAAATTGAAGGATTTAGTCATTATGTTGCAATCAAATCATTTTTTTTTTTTTTTTTGGCAAAAAAAGAAAAAAACAAAAATCATTTTTTTAATTGAATCTCAATTAACGGAAAAACTAGTTTTTATAAGTTCTAAATTTTTATTTAAGAGATGTGATTTTGATGGGTTGATAAAAATAAATAAATGAAAAATATTGAAATAAGTATAAGTAAATTTAACAAAATATTTAGTAATAATGTTCATAATTTTAATTTTCTAAAAGATTGCGTGCGATAATGTCTATTGAAACCAATTCTTCACATCATTTAATTTCTTAGGTTGTTCTTGTTTATAGATATATTGGTATTTGATCAATGTTTCTTTTGTTAACCAAGCTAATTTTGACGAAATTAGTATAATTGGTTTTGATTGAATTTTAAGGTTGTATTAAAATAATATTTAAAATAAAATAATTAAAATTAATTTAATATAAAAGTCGGAGATAGATGATTAAGAGTGTTAGGTTATTAAGATTACGTGAATAGATGAATAGTACATGAAAGTTGATG